AGATCATCCTCTTTAATACTCTGTTGATCTATTAATCTAGCAAATTCATATGAATTCTTCACTGAATATTACCAATATTCAGCCAGTTTCCTTGATTATCTACATAAGAAGCGTGAGATCCTATGCATCACAGTACCCTTGTTATTAACAATTAATCTTAAAGGAACTCCTTCCTTGTGTATTTTTGGGAGGCCATAAGCCGAAGGTGCCCTAGCATCCCTCTGAAGAAGTGATTTTACTTTCCACTTCTCCATTTTTCCTTTGCTTACACAAATGTTAAGCGATTCCCTAAGTCTGATCTTAAGACTTACTGTGGGATCCTTTAGTAAAAGCCTGTAAGTTTCTGGGTCATTTAAATGAAGCATCATTTTTCTATATAACTTAACCTATCCATGATGACCACTGCACCACATTTATCTGCCTTTAAAACAAACAGATCATTTTGGTGCAAATAACTAAACTATATTCAAGTCATACGATTTCTTTGGAATAACTACTTCATTAAAATGAAGAATCATTTCTCTTTCTATACTATTCTTAGCCTCTTCTGGCAGCTTGTCTGTTAAGTTAATTAACTCAACCAGTATATCCATCGAATGATCTTGCTCATTTAGAAATGCAAAGTTTACACCCCTTTCCAGGACGAGCGTCACATTAGCATCTATAGATATGCTAGAAAAAATATAATGACTTTATTTTTTCCTTCTTGTTTCAACGATTCCTTAGGCTGATGTTGATGCCTAAATTCCTTAATTTCTTGTCGTGTTGGGATCTATGGATCTTATACATCCTATCCGCCAAACCGTCCGCCATTTTCTGCAATTTAATAGTCTTTTTAAGAAAATAGCCAATAAAGGGATAATCTAGTCCTTGTTTTAGTTCAAATCAGGTCATGTAATTTGTCTATGCTTTCTTTGAGTCTAGTCTTAACCAAACCACCTGATACATACTCCAGTTTCCTATTAGTGGAATTAGGTAAATCTGAAAGTCTACCAAGAATACAACATTTAGGAACTATATTATGTGAAATACAAATTTTTTAAAATCTTATAGTATCGATTTGCCGGGATAAAGATTTCATG